CCACTCAAGCGTTCGCGAAAAAATCGCAATTAAAAATTTTCGAGCGACTTAAGTAAATATGAAATAGAGCGTATTACCGAAGAGCGTGGCGCAGCGGTAGCGCGCTAGACTAGTAGTGGCGGTAGAACGCTGCTGGTTCGAGACTCGGTGAGTAACTTTTTTTTTAATACAATTAAGTTGTATAATATAATGCAATTATTCAAAATAAATGTAATTAATAAATTTTTTATTAATTACATTTATTTGTGTTTATAATTAATAATAACATCAGAAGAATCAATGCTATACAAATAAATGTGAAACGCGTTTTATTAACTGCAAGAAGGCACATTACATGTTGCTAGATGAAATTTATCATAAAAACAATGAAAACAATAATTTTGTCGACTATGTGCGCATCGTACAAACGCTGCATTTTTACATTCACAAAGTGTTTTTAAAATATCTGGAAAACAAACTTCGCGTCCAAATTAACAAATGAAAGAGAAGTCTTTATAAATGTAAATGAAGTTTGTTTCCCACTAGATATTTTAAAAACATCTTGTGAATGTAAAATTGCAGCGTTTGTACGATGCGCACATTGTCGACAAAATTAGTGTTTTTATTGTTTCTATGATAAATTTCATCCAGCAATATGTAATGTGCCTTTTTGCAGTTAAATAAAACACGTTTCACATTTATTCGTAAAAGGATTCTTTACCTCCCCTTTCTTATCCTTTTGTTGTTTATAAAATCAACTGCAATGATTGTGAGGCTTCCTATGTAGGCCAGACTGGTAGGGTTTTGCAGTCCAGAATCAATGAACACAAAAATCACATTAAACGTAACACTACACAAACCTCTGTTATCACAGATCATAGAATTAATTATTCCCACAATTTCTCATGGGAAAATGTCAAAATTCTGGATTGTGAAAAACACTATCATAAGCGACTAATTTCTGAAACACTATACATTAAGAAACAAACACACGGTCTCAANTTGAACAGTGACACGGAGAATCTAGACAAATCATATTTACCATTTGTCGTTAATACAGCTTAAACTTTCTATTGCGCATGCTTCGACCTCTGAATTCACTGTTCATCTTGATGTATTTTTCAAATTTTTCAATCAGTAATTGACAGCTCACGTGTTAACATGTATCCATCTCGTTACACGACGACTTTAATAACAGCATGTTACTGTAAGTTTACATATTAATTTTACAATGCGTACTTTGTATTTAAAAATTTTTTTCTTTTTTGAAATCTATTGTTTTTATATTCAATTTGTAGAAAGATTTTGATAAAGACCTAAACCGATGGTCGAAACGTTATCACATTATACATACACATTACATCTTGAAATAAAAATCATCTTCATGTGTTTGCACAACAACATCCGTGTCTTGCTTCAACTGCTTCTCATCTTGTTTAATAAATTTTTTATTGTGTTTATAATTAATAATAACATCGGAAGAATCAATGCTATACGAATAAATGTGAAACGTATTTTATTTAACTGCAAAAAGGCACATTACATATTGCTGGATGAAATTTATCATAGAAACAATAAAAACACTAATTTTATCGACAATGTGCGCATCGCGCACAAACGCTGCAGTTTTACATTCACAAGATGTTTTTAAAATATCTAATGGGAAACAAACTTCATTTACATTTATAAAGACTTCTCTTTCATTTGTTAATTTGGACGCGAAGTTTGTTTTCCAGATATTTTAAAAACACTTTGTGAATGTAAAAATGCAGCGTTTGTACGATGCGCACATTGTCGAAAAAATTATTGTTTTCATTGTTTCTATGATAAATTTCATCCAGCAACATGTAATGTTCCTTGTTGCAGTTAATAAAACGCGTTTCACATTTATTTGTATAGCATTGATTCTTCTGATGTTATTATTAATTATAAACACAAATAAATGTAATTAATAAAAAATTTAATCATTACATTTATTTTGAATAATAATTGCATTATATTATACAACTTAATTGTATTAGAAAAAAAAATTACTCACCGAGTCTCGAACCAGCAGCGTTCTACCGCTACTACTAGTCTAGCGTGCTACCGCTGCGCCACGCTCTTCGGTAATACGCTCTATTTCATATTTACTTAAGTCGCTCAAAAATTTTTAATTGCAATTTTCTCGCGAACGCTTGAGTAGTGCGTCTTATGCGTTTACCTTGTAATACTTGGCATAGTGACCTATTGATACAAAAAGTTTCGGCGAAATCGATTAGTCACACATCGTGCGCTCTTCTTGTAAGTAATAATTAAACCTTTTATTGATATAAATGTCTTTAGACGTTCAACCAATATCACTTAAACAGTGTTAAAAGCGCCTCTAAAGATTTTGATATTTCTTATTAGTATTTTTATATTCTTCATATATTCTTATATTACTGCAATAATTCATATATTCTTACATTAATACAGTAATTCAGTTTCGACTTTTAGGCCCGATTTTTTCATACCTCCCGATAGCTATCCTCTAGATAAAAATACATAAAAAGATATACTTTATCTTTTAGGGCTGCTTTCCTTTTAGGAGACACAGTCGACACAAGAGTCATTCTGTCTTTGTTCAATATTCAGTGAGAAACAAAGACAGAATGACTTTTGTGTCGACTTATGTCGACTGTGTCTCCTAAAAGGAAAGCAGCCTAGATAAAGTTATCCAAAACTTATTTAGAAGTGAAGAAATTGGGCATTATACTTTCTACAAAACTTATATACTTTGCGCGATAAATTTCACCGTCTGTTACACGTGTTCTGCATTAGACCTTATTGCAGCAAAAGGATTTAGTATGGTAATTAAATAATAATAAACAACATGGTCGAAACAATAATATTATACTAAATCTCTTGATAACAATAATAGAAAAACTTTAATAACTATCAATATTTAACTTTTATAGTAGTAAAATTAAAACTTTTTCAGTATTAAAATTTATTTCTTTCGCACTGAGAAGAGAGAGAAAAAAAGAGAGAGAAAGAAAGAAGAATGTTACAACTTATATTGTTGTAATTTAAACAGTGTTATTAAAAGGATAAGTTATATATATTATAGTGTATACAAAAAGTATAAGTTATATATATTATAGTGTAAAAGTATAAGTATAGTGTAAAAGTATAAGTTATATATATTATAGTGTATACAAAAAGTATAAGTCATATAAAAGTATAAGTTATGTATATTATTATTATTATTATATTATATATATTATTATTATTATAGTGTAAAAGTATAAGTTATATATATTATAGTGTATACACATACACAAGTGTGTCGTTTCTATTAAAAGAAATAAATGATGAACAATAATTTTAGTAGTTGATGAGTAATGTTAATGTAGTTCAAAACAAGAAGAAAAAATGAAGTGTAACTTTACACACCCCAGCAAGCAAGCTCACGTGATAATGACGTGATTATGAAGTGATTTTGATGACTACGACGTTAAGTAACATAAATGTTATTTTGACGTCATTTATAATACCAAAAGTTGGCGTCGCCGATATGACGTCATTTCGATGTCGCGTTGACGTCATATATCAACTTATATATATTGAATTTCAATATGACATTAATAAAACGATTAAATAAAGTTCTAACAACAACCTTGAGTTAAATTCAACTGTTAATTATAATAATATGTTTATTAATAACATTTGTTTTTTTGAATAATATTATATCTTTAAATACATTATTTATAGATAAGTATAGCCATTTATTTATAGATAAGTAGCCACGTATACTTTGGTAAACTGATTACCTTTTATATATTAAATTTATTAAAAATAACATAATATATAAATATATATTCAATGATAACTAAAGTTTATTGTAGTTAAATTTTATAATAAGAACAGTTATTATTAAATATTTCTTATTATTAAATAATAAATAAAATGTGTAGAATAGTTTGAAAATAAGTAAAGAAAAATAATTACAAACATGAAATCTTCGGTCATAAGAGCCAAAAATAATTACATTATAGTAAGAAACAAGTGGTCTAGCGGACTGAGTGCAGGGACTGCAAATATGGAGGTCTCGAGTTCAAATCCCATCATCTTAGGATTTTTTCCAGGTCCGGTATCTTTCATCGAATTAATCAGTTGATTGACAAACTGAATCAGATCTCCAAAAATTAATTCAAGTAAAGTTTCGAATTAATTTTGTTTCTATAAAGCGTTTTTCTTATATATCACCATAATATTACTGCGATGCATTTCGGCGGTCATTTTATTACTGTAATGCAGTAATATTACATGCTATGTGGGATGTTGATACTATTGTTCTTTAAGTGTTGTATTTTATTTTCTTTTTAAATTTACAATAACGTCTTTACCATCTTATATTGATGAGACTTTTTTGATTATATTCACGTCTACTTGACGTAATATAATGACGTCAATAAGATGTGACATAATCACGTGATATGTACGTCAAAATCACGTCATTGTTATGTCATAATTGATGTTTTGCAGACCAAAAACTGATGTCATTATCACATGAGCTTGCTTGCTGGGACATTAAGACACGGAACTATATATTATATAAAGGTCAAACTCTATCTTTGTATTATTCAGAATTCCCTCTAAATCACGTTGCTATATGTAGTAGCTACTTGCACAAAATTTTATATTAACAGTGCTGCGAGTCAGAGAAAACTACCCTATTCTACTATTGTCGTGGGAAAGAACGCGATTCTTTCTTTAGCGTATTTCGCGAAGATCACCGGGAGAATCCGCGACCGAGCCGTCGCGTCATTCTTAGGGCCATTCTACAATGAGTTGAAAATGTCCCGTCGCCAGTTGCAACTACTAGGGAAGAAGCATTATTTTACGTGCTGCGGTTGCCAGTTGCTGTTGACGAAAGTTAAAAGTTGACCACCTCTCTTTTAGCAACAAAATAATACTTTTTTTTTCGTAATTGCTACTTTTCGCAACTGGCAACAGGACATATTGTAGAATGACTCTTAAAGCATTGCAAATGTTACCGGACTCGCCGAACTTCTGTGAGAAAAAGCCGCGACTTTCACCCAATCGATATTTTCGATCGGTGCCGATCGTTACTCTTGCTCGACTGGTCACACGTGCACAGTCAGTGTTTCACTCTGTGCGTACGTACGCTTCTTCACAAACGTATTATGTATAAACTCACACACAAACATACATCGCATACAGTATATACATCAAAAGAAAAAACAACTGGCCACGACGACGTCTGCGCAGGCACTGAGGTCCGAATTCATAGGGTGCATTCCGATATTTACTGCCAGTACTGGCAGCGTCACAAGTACCGTTCCAAAATACAT